GTTAAATATCTGTAAAGATAGAATGCATACGGGATAATCCCTGTACCAATCTTGTTGAACTATAATTTGCTTTTTGTTTCTCAAATAAAAATTTCTATTTTGTGTTGTTTTACTATCTTTCTTCCCTTCTTTCCAGTTGTTCTCATCTGGAATCCTACATAAGCTTCTATACAAATACTAGTTTTGAGGATTAGGCAAAGTCCTGTCTCCCTACTAAAGGACAAAGTCTTTCCTTACTATTCTACTCTATGAGAATCTAAGCTCCAAACTTCTTAGCCTTTATTCAAGCATCTGGGTCTAATCTTTTTTTCTATTTAATACTGTGAATTAGCTTTTCACAGTTTTTGACTTATCTTCTAATTCAACTGTAAGCCCCTAAAAGGCAGATTCCTTTATTCTCTTTTTCCTATATTGTTCAGGCACCTACATAGTAGATGCTCTAAATAGCCTGGTTTTAAAAAGTAACACAGTCAATCCAATTATGACCCAACATATACATTTAGTGTTCTTTAAAGATTTTTCTAGAACCGGTCTATGTACTTTGTGTAAACATGGATATTCTGCGAGCCCAATACATTTTTTGCGTGTCTGGTGTCAGAACTCATCAGCTGACTCTGTGTCCCAGCCACAGGACTGCACTTGTTCATCCTGTGGGAACTCAACCTCAACATCATAAACAAAATTGGGATCATCCTTCTTCTTCTGATTTTTCTCGAAAAGTTCATTCATGATGCTCTTCCTTTTGGCAAGTTCCTTGTCATCTAGTTTGTTCAGGTCTTCCTCAGGATCAATGGTTGTTTCCCGTTGAATTTGTTCCATTGTTTCTGCCAAACTCTGTCCCCACAAGTAACCTCGTAAAAAACTAAATAACTTCTCCAGCTGCCTCAGGGATACTTGTTCCAGGTAACTCTTGTGTCGTGGATTATTCTTTAATTGTTCGGCAGCTCTGGAGCAGTCTAGGAGGAAGAAAAAACATATACTCCATACTTCATATACACTGCAAAGGACAGACGCATTCACTATAAACTACTGCAAAGGCTGAACACAACAAAAAACTCAGAACCCTGAAAGCATTATTTTCTTTATACTCAAGTAGCTAAATGGCTTTATAACAATGAATTATTTTGTGGAACTACTTCTTTACATTGGGTTTTGAGTGTGGTGGGGGAAGAAGGGATGTATTTTTGGCCTCTTCAACTTAAAATCACTTTGTGAAGCTGGGAGCAGTGGCTCATGCCTGTAATCCTAGCACTCTGGGAGGCTGAAGAGGGTGGATTGTTTGAGCTTAGGAGTTTGAGACCAGCCTGAGCAAGAGCAAGACCCTGTGTCTAAAAAAATAGCCAGGCATTGTGGTGGGCGCCTGTAGTCTCAGTTACTTAGGAGGCTGAGGAAAGAGAATTACTGAAGCCCAAGAGTTTGAGGTTGCTGTGAGCAGTGAAGCCACTGCACTCTACTGAGGGTGACAAAGTGAGACTCTTTGTCTCAAAAAAAAAAAAAATCTGACTCGGCACCTGTAGCTTAAGTGGCTAGGGCGCCAGCCACATATACCAAAGCTGGTGGGTTTGAATCCAGCCTGGGCCTGCCAAACGACGACTACAAAAAATAGCCGGGCACTGTGGCGGGCACCTGTAGTCCCAGCTATTTGGGAAGTTGAGGCAAGAGAATCACTTAAGTCCAAGAGCTGGAGATTGCTGTGAGCTGTGACCCCACAGCACTCTACCCAGGGTGACAGCTTGAGACTCTGTCTCAAAAGAAAATAAAATTACTTTGTGGAGATATTAAACACTTTCATTTAGAGAAAATGTCTGAAAAGAAAAAGAGGTATTATAGCTTTTAGGTAGCAGTAGTGGTACTAATAAAAGTCAAGATTCCAAATAAACGTTTGGAGGGAGAGAAGGGAATTAATATTATTGAATAATGATATCTCATTTAACCCATGTAATAATCTCAGAAGGTTAAAGGATCAATTATCAAACTGGTGAAAAATCATCAAATTCCTCTTACAGATTGGAAATTGAAGCTCATCGACAGTATATAGATTAGCCAGTATCATACATCTAGTCCCTGATAAGCATGATTTGAACCTGGGTCTGTCTATCTCTAATGGCCATGTCACTCCATTGCATGAAACTTAAATTGTTCTTTTTTTTTTTTTGCAGTTTTTGGCCAGGGCTGGGTTTGAACCCGCCACCTCTGGCATATGGGGCCCGTGCCCTACTCTTTGAGCCACAGGCGCCACCCTAAATTGTTCTTATTAAGTGATTTAGAAAATACTATAAAAGGAAGCAAGATAAAACATGAGATACCTGAAAACTTTGAAAAGTTTCGGACTGGCATAATGCGCTGGCGACTTTTCCCCTTGATTTCATTCTCATAGATTAAGATAATAGCTGGAGGCTGGAATTTAATCCCACATTTCTTGGCAGTGTACATCATTCCCACATATACTTTAGGGTAAATCAGAGGAAATCTGATGAACATGTGTTACTTTCATAATGACTTCCTGCTAAAGGAAAAAGGAAAAAAACAACAACTAGGTATTGGATAAATTCCACTCCTCCCATCTCTCCTCCCCGACAGATCTGGCTCTAGTCCAGCAATTCTGGAGACATACTATGCTCAGCCTATGAAGCTTAATCCTTCAAGGGCTGACCTGAAAGTTCAGATTCACCCTGGGTTAGCCTCCATCTTTTGGATCCCTAAGGTTCTCTGGTTCACATTGATCCTGGGGTAGCAATTCAGTTTGGACCTGTTAGTGTCCCACACTCTTACCAAAGACTGTATGTGAACCCCTGAGTCTGCCCAACAACTGAACAATGGGTCTGTACTATTTATCACTTAAGAAAGTACATATCAAGCACTCTCTCTATCAAGGTACTATGAGTTCTTTGTCCTGAATGATTCATGAGACCCAATCTGTCTCCCTTATACATTCCCAATTATTTTACTCATTGAGCTTTTTCTAATTACTTATTTAATCATTTATCTTTCCTTTTATTCTGTATGCCACTTGAAGGTAGGGGGCAGATTCATTTTTCATAACATCTCAGCATAATACCTAGAACATTGGAGGCATTCCCCATGTACTTGTTTAATGCTACATATTGATATAACATAGCCCCTGTGCAACCTCTAAGTATTTCAGTCGAGAAGCCTGATCAAACAGGCAGACCTGATACAGAATTGGCACTTCACATACAAGACAGTAATGTTCACATGGCTTTTATTTCAGTTTATTTGTTTCAGTATATGACACTTTTACAAGAAACATAGCTATTTGCAGATTTATGCTTTTATTCTCTCTTCCCTTCTCTATCCTCAGTGCCAAAATAGTTCAATTATATAGACTGCTTTAGATGAGCCTATCACATTCTCAAGATTGTAAATGTCAAGAAACCTTAAGGTACAGGGCATGTTGGCAGGACTGTAATCCCAGCACTTTGGCCAAGAGGGCCACTTGAGCCCAGGAGTTTGAGACTAGCCTGGGTAACATAATGAGACTTCATTGCTAGAAAAAAAACTTTTTAAAAAATTAGCTGGGGGCTCGGCGCCTATAGCTCAACCGGCTAAGGCACCAGCCACATACACCTAAGGTGGCGGGTTCGAATCCCCAGCCAGGACCCGCCAAACAACAATGACGGCTGCAACCAAAAAATAGCCGGGTGTTGTGGCGGGCGCCTGTGGTCCCAGCTACTTGGGAGGCTAAGGCAGGAGACTCGCTTGAGCCCAGGAGTTGGAGGTTGCTGTGAGCGTGATGCCATGGCACTCCACCCAGGGGGACAGCTTGAGGCTCTGTCTCAAAAAAAAAAAAAAAAAAAAAATTAGCTGGGTACGGTGGTGTGTGCCTATTGTTCCAGCAACTAAGGAGGATGGGAGGATGCGTGAACCCAGGAGCTCCAGGCTGCAGTGAACAATGATGGAGCCACTGCACTCTACCCTGGGCAATAGAGCAAGACCCTATCTCTTAAAAAAATAAAAAGAAGGCTGGGTGCAGTGGCTCACGCCTGTAATCCTAGCACTTTGGGAGGCCGAGCTCTCAGGTTTGAGACTACCCTAAGCCAGAGCCACAGACCTCATCTCTAAAAGTAGCCAGATGTTGTAGTGGGTGCCTGTAGTTCCAGCTACTCAGGAGGCTGAAGCAAGAGAATCGCTTGAGTCCAAAGTTTGAGGTTGCTGTCACCTATGATACCACAGCATTCTATTGAGGGCAACAAAGTGAGACTCTCAAAAAAAAAAAGGATCAGGGCCCGGAGCTGGGTGGTTAGGGCACCAGCCACATACACCAGGGCTGGCGTGTTTAAACCTAGCCTGGGCCTGCTAAACAACAATAACTACAACCAAAAAATAGCTAGGTGTCGTGGCAGGCACCTGTAGTCCCAGCTACTTGGGAGGCTGAGGCAAGAGAATTGCTTAAGCCCAAGAGTTGGAGATTGCTGTGAGCTGTGGTCCCCACTGCACTCTATGGAGGGCGACATACTGAGACTGTCTCAAAAAAAAAAAGAAAGAAAAGATAAAAACAGAAACCTTTGAGGTAAAGCGGCTTAGAGTGATGATATCTTTATAAATCCAGTTCTTCTGGAGAATCACTATAGGAACACAGTTATTTTAAAAATACCTTCCATGGCTGGGCATGGTGGCTCATGCCTATAATCCTAGCACTCTGGCCAAGGTGGGTAGATAGCTTGAGCTTAGGAGTCCAAGACTAGCCTAAGCAAAAGTGCCACCCTGTCTCTACAAAAAATAGAAAAACTAGCTAGGCATTGTGGTGGGTGCCTGTTGTCCCAGCTACTCAGGAGGGTAGGGTTCCTGAGGATTGCTTGAGCCCATGAGTTTGAGGTTGCTGTGAACTATGAAGTCAGGGCACCCTATCCAGAGCCACAGAATGAGATTCTATCTCAAAAAACAAACAAAAAAAACCCCAAAACCCCAAACAAAACAAACAAACAGAAAAACCTTACAGTGATTATATATATTTATTGCAGAAAACTGGGGCAAAGAAGATGGTTAGGAAACATATGTAAGATAATCACCTTGATTATGTCCAGTCTTTTTCTAGGCTTATACATTTTTAAACTGTAGGATTTTTTAATATCATACATACTATTTCCTGACTTTTTTTTTTTTTTTTTTGCAGTTTTTGGCTGTGGCTGGGTTTGAAGCCATTACTGGCATATGGAGCTGGTGCCCTACCCTTCTGAGCCACAGGAGCTGCCCTATTTCCTGACTTTAAATTTAACAACCTATATGATGATTTTGTCATTAAATATTTTACCATAATGCAACATTTTATATGATTGCCAAGTGTTCTTTCTGTCTTATGAATGTACCATAATCAATATTAGTCACCACTTATTGTTGCAGGGGAGAATTTTTACTTATGAAATTAAAAATATATAAAGAACTGATTTTTCAAATTCTTGTGCTCAAAACTGATGTGATGATCCCCCATTCTCCTTTTCTTTCTCTCTTTTTTAAATCAATACTACTCCCAGTTTACCAGATTAAAATTCTGTTAGTAAACTATATAGGCAATCTTGTAGAGCAGGATATAAACTCCACATTCAAGCAAATGACTGTAGTCACGAATGATGTATACAGCTGGTTCTCAAAAATGTAGTTTTAATATTGACCTTATCTTTTTAAAATTTAACTGTAATTTTTACTAAAATAATTTTTGGACTCTGGAATGTATTACAAAATAATTCTATGAGACTCTTAACAAAAAAAACTATTATTCTCTACCCCTACTCTTTAGGGGTAACCAGTTTCGATTTTTCAAAAGCAATTTTCCCAAAATTTATCCCTTCCTCCCTTCTCTTCTTTTCTTTCTTTTTTTAAAGACAAGAGTCTCACTTTGTCATCCTTGGTAGAGCAACCTCAAACTCCTGGGCTTAGGCGATTCTCCTGCCTCAGCCTCCCAAGTAGCTGGGACTACAGGTGCCCACCACAATGCCTGGCTTTTTTTTTGAGACAGAGTCTCACTTTATCGCCCTTAGTAGAATGCTGTGGCACTACAGTTCATAGCAACCTCCAACTCCCGGGCTTAGGCAATTTTCTTGCCTCAGCCTCCTGAGTAGCTGAGACTACAGGCACCACCACAACACCCGGCTATTTTTTTTTTGTTGCAGATTGCTGGGACCGGGTTTGAACCTGCCACCCTCAGTATATGGGGCCAGCGCCCTACTCACTGAGCCACAGGCACCGTCCTGCTATTTTTTAAAGACAAGGTCTCGCTCTGGCTCAGGCTGGTCTTGAACCTGTGAGCTCAGGCAATCCACTCGCTTCGGCCTCCCAGAGTGTTGAGAGTACAGGCGTGAGCCACCAGTCCTATCTGGTGCCTATGCTGCTACTTTCAGTTTTATGTTTTTTAAAGCGATAGGACAGAATTTATTGACAGGGAGAAAGACTTAATAAGCATAATAAGCAAAAGTGGGTGAAGCAAAAGGAGGGAGAACAGAACCTCCAGCAGTGGAGGGGGAATCCAAGTGGGAAGCCCCGCTATTTTCAGTTTTAGATAGTATTTTTTGACATACACTCTTTCCTCTTTGAGACACTGGCCCTTAGAGCCCTCTATTCTCCAAACTGCACTCTAGGATGCTCTCTAGGCCTGCTTACAAATTCCATTCCAGTCTGAAAGGCCAATAGTCCTCTTACTTAATTTTTCTTCCTGGACGTGAATACATTTCTCCCTAGACATCAGTGACAGGCCATAATCTTAATTATCTCCTACAATGCCTAAGACAGGGCACGGATTTCCCCAGTGGGATCCCTGCAGCCCCACTAGTGCAAGGCTGACTTGCTTACCCATAGAGAAATAAAGGGCATCTTCTGCTGCAGGCCAACGTCTGAACCGCCGAGAGGGGGCTGTTTCCACCCTCACTGCAGTGCCCAGAGGAGCACTTACGTCCACTGTGAGGCCAGGCAAAGGCTGGCGCTGCAGGAAGAGGCGACACATCCACTGATCCGCCCAGAGACGTGGAGACGCTGGACAGCGTGTGAGAGCTGTCAGGGTCCTGCAGGGCGCTCGCTCGGCGGTTCCCACAGCAACAGCGCGGGCCCTAGCCACTGCGCGTGCGCCGCTCCTCCCCCCGCCCCAGGCCTGGAGATGAGGGGCGGGGCGGCGTGGGCAGCTGGGCCTGCAGCCACACGCCACGCCGGAACTTCTGCTGCAGAGGGCTGCAGGTAGCCGGGGAACGGCGGGAGCGCCTGCGTGCGCTCACCGTGCTCTCGGTCCCAGTCACTAAGACTGTAGCACTGCGCTCTGGGAACGGCGTGAGGATTGTGCCGGCTCCTTTCTCCGTCCGCTTCTGGTCCCCACGCGCCCTTCTTGGGCGTCCGCCCTTCAGCGTTCTGGCTGCTTGGCCCGTGGCTGTCCGGGCGGTAGCCTGGCTGCTTCTATGGGCGGCGACTGGGCGCACCTGCTGGCCAGCCACGGCCTTCACCGCTGCCCCCTCTGACCCTGGTAAAAAGAGGGGCGGGGCTGCGCGAGTGCAGGCGGGGTTTGGGGGCCCCGGGGTGGGGAGCAGTCAGGACTCGCGGGTCCTCTCGCTCTGAGATTTACGGAAGTTCTTCCGGTCCCCAGTGTGGGACGCTTGGAATGGTAGGGTTCGCTGGAGGAGAAGAAAAATAAAGGCTGAGTGCCTTCCTCTCCCCTCCCCACTCCCCTTCCGTGCTCTGCGCGCTGTGTCGGTCTCTCGTCTCTGGAGAGTCGGGCTTTGTCGTTCCGAAGTGAGACTGGCCGCGCTGTTACTAAAGTACTGAAAAGGAAGTACAGCCGGGAGATGTCTTGGGATGATCTTGGAATGCATGAAGCTTCTGACCACCAAGAGGCCAGTAAGGCCTTAGCGCTCTGGGAGGTGTGAGAATCCCAAAACTGAATATAGAGACTCGGGAAACGACCAGTATTATCAATGCATTTGATAATAGACCAATTTTTTTTTTAATGACTCGGGGCTGGGCAGTCGAGTTGATTTGTTTCTTTGAGTTCTGAGTTCCTGGGCCAGAGTGCTGTGCTAAGTCCTGCGGATCCAGCTCAGAACTAAACACAACCCCTGGACTTTTAGTGTAGTGACAGAGATGAATATGTACAGGAATAATTACAATGATGTGATAACGTTTGATAGGGAAAAGAAAGTCAGTACATACCCGGTGAGTTTCTCCAACTATAAAATGAGACTGTTAGACCAGTATCTCTCAATTAGTGCAGTACTGTTCTTGTGTTTATACATCTGGTTTCCAAATTCATTTGAAGAAAGGATTATAAGGCCAAAAAGAATTTTTAAGTAACTGGATGAAGTTGCGGATCTCTAAAGAGTCTTTCAGCATTGACATTTTTATTATAAAAGGGTCAATATCCAGAGCCAGTTCAGACCACTACAACTGAAGAAAGAAATTTTCTTTGAGACAGGGTTTGCTCTGCTGTCTGGGCTACAGTGCGGTGGTGTCATCGTAGCTCACTGCAATCTCCAACTCCTGGGCTCAAGCAACTCTGCCTGGGCCTCTCAAAGTGTTAGGATTACAGGCTTGAGACACTATGCTGGCCAAATAAAGTAGTACTATTAGAAATAAAGGTGAATTTAGATACAGTCTACTCATGTTTAAAATGGTGCTTTTGACTTAAAAATCATAACTAATCCACAGTAGAATTTAGGCCTTATTTTTTTACTTTGTTGTGTTATCAAATATTTTTCATTTTTTTCTGACTGTATTTTTGCACCTATTAGCCATCCTCTCTTTATCCCTTCCTCACTACTGTACCTTCTAGCCTCTGGTAACTATCATTGTACTCCCTGTCCCTGTGAGATCAACTGTTTTTTGGTTTTGTTTTGTTTTTTTTGAGACAGAGCCTCAAGCTGTCCCCCTGGGTAGAGTGCAGTGGATCACAGCTCATAGCAACCTCCAACTCTTGGGCCCAAGTGAGTCTCCTGCCTCAGCCTCCCAAGTAGCTGGGACCACAGGCGCCTGCCACAACACCCGGCTATTTTTTGGTTGCAGCCGTCATTGTTGTTTGGCGGGCCTGGGCTGGATTTGAACCCACCACCTTAGGTGTATGTGGCTGGCGCCTTAGCCACTTGAGCCACAGGTGGTGAGCCAGATCAACTGTTGTTAATATTTAGTTCCTTTATATAATTGAGAAACAAGTGAGATTTGTCATCCTATTTTTGTTTTCTTTCTTTTTTTTTTTGAGACAGTCTCACTATGTCACCCTTGGTAGAGTGCTGTGACATCACAGCTCACAGCAACCTCTAACTCTTTGGCTTAAGTGATTCTCTTGCTTCAGCCTCCCAAGTAGCTGGGACTACAGATGTCCGCCACAGTGCCCTGCTATTTATTTTTTGGTTGTAGTTGTCATTGTTTGGCAGGCCCAGGCTGGATTCCAACCTGCCAGCTGTGGTGTATGTGGCTGGTGCCTTAGCTGCTGAGCCACAGGCACCAAGCCAGCTTCTTTCTTCCTTTTTTTTTGAGACAGTCTCACTTTGCCATCATTGATAGAGTGTGGTGACGTCATAAATCACATCAACCTTAAACTCTTGGGCTTAAGGGATTCTGTAGCTTCAGCCTCCCAAGTAGCTGCCACAACGCCCAGCTATTTTTAGAGATAAGGTCTGCTCTGGCTCAGGCTGGTCTTGAATATGTGACCTCAGGCAGTCTACCTACCTCGGTCTCCCAAGTGCTGGGATTACAGGCATGAGCCATGGTGCCTGGCCCTCCTTGGCTTATTTCATTTAACAGAGTGTTTCCCGGTTCTATCTATGGTGTTGCAAATGGCAGAATTTCATTCCTTTTATGGCTCTCTAGTACTCCATCATGTATTTGTACTACAATTTCTTTAATTGTTAATGGACACAAAGGTTGATTCGAAAATCTTGGATATTGTGAATAGTGCTGCAATAAACATGGGAGTGCAGGTATCTTTTCGATATACTAATCTCCCCTCCTTTGGATATATACCCAGCAGTGGATTTCTGGAGCATATAGTAGTCTAGTTTTTTGAGGAACTTCTATACTGTTTTCCATAGAGATTGCACTAATTTTATATTCTCACCAACAGTGTGTAAGGGTTCCCCTTGCTCTACATCCTTACAAGCATTCGTTACTGCCTGTCTTTTTGATATAAGCCATTTTAACTAAGATGATATGACATCTCATCCTAGTTTTACATTTCTCTGATGACTAATGATGTTGAAACTATTCATTTGATTTTTTCTTAAAATTTAATTTGTATTAAATTAGATGTTAGCCCTTACTTTCCCCTCTGCCCCCATTAAAATTAAACATGAAGAAAAATCTGGATTTCTGCAAAACATACATAACATATATGCTCATTTGGGGGAAATACATGCGTCTTCAAATACGATTTCTTTAAATAGCTGGATTAGGTAGAAGTATCTTAGGCTTTAAAAGTCAGGCAAACCTTGCTTCAAGTCACTTTTATGATCCTAATCCTAATCAGGAACACTAATCCTAGTGCATCCTGAGTTTTCACCCATATACAAATGGCAGTAATTCTTCCTATCTTGCTGGATTGTGAAAGTTAAAACACAAGTGATAGCCCCAAGTAGAGGATCTGGTATATAGATATTATTTAACAAATGTTATTTTTTCCATTCTTTTTTCCTTCTGTCAAATAGTTTGATCTTCATGATATTTGTCTTAATGCATCTTTTTAGGAATATAGCTAATGGATTCAGCAATATTCAGTATTATATGGATTTCAGTTTGTTTTAATGTTCTTCCCATAGACTGTAATTACAGCTTTTGGAATGGGGCAAAGTTCCATAGCAAGGTGCCTGGCATAGTTGGTGGGCAGTAGTAACTGAATTTGAAGTTTTATGATGCTTACATTGAGTAAGATTTTTGATGTCTGAATTCTGCATGGAATCAGTTTAGTGAGATTTTCAGTTATTCTACATTTATCAAAGAAACCTTCAAACTTATAAGTGCCTCTAGTTTAAAAAAAATCTCTCCAAACACCTCCACAAGGTGTAAATATGCCATCTTCCCAACTTTGCAGGCATGGATGTTAGAATACAGAAATTGCTGGTGTGCATCTGATACACAGTTTCAGTGAGCTATAAATAACATCCTGGCTGGGTGCTGTGGCTCAGGCCTATCATCCTAGCACTCTAGGAGGTGGAGGTGAGAAGATCCCTTGAGCTCAAGAGTTCAAGATGAGCCTGAGCAAGAGTATGACCCTGTCTTTACTGAAAATAGACAAAATAACTGGCTGTTGTGGTGGGCTCCTGTAGTCCAGCTACTTGGGGGCCTGAGGCAGGAGGATCACTTGAACTAGGAGTTTGAGGCTGCTGGGAGGGAGGCTGACGCCATGGACCTCTAGCCTGGCCAACAGTGAGATTCTGTCTCAAGAAAGAAAAAAACAGAACAAAAAAACCCTGTGATTTCCTAGCTCTTGAATCATTCTGTTCCTTTTTGGTGTCCTGGATATCTCTTATCACCTGAATTAAGTAATATTAATAACAAACATTTGTTATTAAGTAGACCACTTACTGTGCGCTTTTGCATATATTAAGTCCTTATGACAACCAGCAGAGAGATAACTTATCTTACAGCCAGCAAGCTATTAAGTGACAGACTATGGTTTGAAATTAGTCTAACTCCAAACTCAATGTTCTTAACCACTGTGCTATGCTAGAAATACATATATATATTTTTGGGGGGGCACAGAGTCTCGCACTGTTGCCAGGCTAGAGTGACATAGCAACTTCAATCTCTTGGGCTCAGGCAATCCTCTTACCTCAGCCTTTGGAATAGCTGGGACTACAGGCACCCACTACAATGTCCGGCTAGTTTTTTTAGTAGAGATAGGTACTTAGCTAGTCTTGAACTGTGCTTAAGCAGTTCACCTACCTTGGCCTCTCAGAGTACTCGGATTACCTAACGTGAGCCACCCACTGGAGCCATGCCTGATGGAAATAGATTTATATGTAGGTCAGATTGCTTACTTTTTTTTCCCTTTGAGACAGACTCTCATTCTGTCACTCTGGGTAGAGTGCCATGGCCTCATAGCTAACAGCAACCTTAAACTCTTGGGCTTGAGCAATCCTCTTGCCTCAGCCTCCCAACTAAATGAGACTATAGACATGTGCCTCTATGCCCAGCTAGGTTTTGTTTTGTTTCCTATTTTTAGTAGTGATGGGGGTCTCACCCTTGCTCAAGTTGGTCTTGAACTCCTGAGCTCAGATAGTCCACCTGCTTTGGCCTCCTAGAGAGCTAGGATTACAGGCATGAGCACCTGGCCTAAATTGCTTACTGTTTAAAAACTTTTTAAGTTGGTTAGAGTTTGCAGCCAAGTAAAGCCAATCAAAATAATTCTTTTTGGGTGGTGCCTGTGGCTCAAAGGAGTAGGGCACCAGCTCTATATGCCAGAGGTGGTGGGTTCAAACCCAGCCCTGGCCAAAAATAAATAAATAATAATAATGCTTTTCTAATTATTTAAATATTCTTTCATTGGCTGCTTAAAAAAATCTTTTGTTTCTTATAGGCATGAGAGCCACTTGTTCTGAAATTATTTTGAGGCAAGAAGTTTTGAAAGATGGTTTCCACAGGTAAGTTGGCCATTTATTTCTACTTACATTAAAATATTATCTTACTTGAGTTTGATGCTGCAGCAAGCCATAATCTTATCACTGTGCTCTATCTTGGGTGACAAAAAGAGAGAGACCCTGTCTCCAAAAAATATATATACTGTCTCAAATAATTTGGAGTAAAACATTAATAGTCCAAACAGGTAAACTAAAAAAATCACTTGCCTTCTTAAAGTTTATCAGTGACAGTTTTAGCATTTGTAGTTTACACTTTGAAATAGCAATTTAATCACTGAGTGGAGAAAGAAGAAAACAAACATATTGTTTTCATGTATAGTTGTCCCTTGATATCTGAGGGGGATTGGTTCCAGGATCCCCTGAGGATACCAAAATTCTCAGATGCTCAGGTCCCCTATATTAAATGGTATGGTATTTGTATATAACCTATGTACATCCTCTCATATGTGGGATAGATTCTGTATCTACAGCTAGCATCTATATGTACAGTATTCCATTTAATCTTCACAATGGCCGTGAGATGGATGATAGATTTACTATTTTTCTGATGCAGAAGCTAGGGCTCAGAGAATTTAAATAATTTGGAAGAAATTAGGTAATAGAGCTCTGACTCAAATTTAGTAGTCACATATAATATTTCAAAGTCATGCTCTCAAGTACTGTGATATCGTACTCTTAAGTCATTGTTTCTTATTTATTAGGCTTAGTTCCAAGTGACCATTTCCAAAAGGAAATGATGTTTTTATGCAGGAGGCTGAGGAAGGAGGATCCCTTGAGCTCAGTAGTTTTACACTGTAATAAGCTATGATTACATCACTGTACTCCAGTCTGCATGACAGTGAGATCCCATCTCTTAAAAAAGAGAACAGAACCTACAAGAATAGCTTCAGGAAATAGAAATCCAAGAATTATTTGAAAATGCAAGTAATCCTTTTTTAAATTTATCTTCAGAAAATGCAAGTAATCCTTTTTAAAATTTATTATTATTTTTTGAGACAGAGTCTCACTTTGTCACCCTTGGTAGAGTGTCGTGGTGTCATAGCTTTCAGCAACCTCAAACTCTTAGGCTGAAGTGATTTTCTTGCCTCAGTCTCCCAAGTAGCTGGGACTATAGGCTCCTGCCACAACATCCAGCTATTTTTTAGACATAGGGTCTCGCTCTTGCTCAGGCTGGTCTCGAACCTATGAGCTCAGGTAGTCTACCTGCCTCGGCCTCCTAGAGTAGTAGGATTACAGGCGTGAGCCACTGAACCTGGCTTCATTTTTTAAAAAAGACATTTTAGTTATGTTTAGAGCAGATGTAGTCTTGCTGCTAGAGTGGATTAACAGGTTATGGAAAGTAGAGCCGTTTCTTGAGTTACTTATGCTCTGAAAAGGGCCAAGCAAATATTGGTAGTAGGAAACTGAAGTATAGACTTTATAAGGGGATTATGCCGAAAGGCCTATACTGTAAGTTTGGGGTCTTCCCTCTCTGATGAATTGTATCTCATTGCAATAGGAGAAAGATTGCTAAGCTAATGGTTGCAATCTTTGGATAATCTGAGAGTTAGGGAGAACTATAGAATAGTGAGGTTGATGTAGATTCGGAGGAAAATTCTAGACTACATTATTAGAAGGATGGAACTGGCATCAATTTATACAAACAAATATTTCCTAAACAGAGCTGCTTGATAGGTGAACAGGGAAATTTTATATGGTTTATTTGTGAACAAGATAAAGAAATGTGGACTGGAAGGTAATATAGGTAACTGACTTCATAAAGTTTAACAAATATAACATGTCCTGATTAATGGATTGAATGTCATCTTGTAGGGAGGTCATAAGGGTCTCTGTCTTTTAAAAGATATATATTTTTTCAGATAATAAAAGTATTACCGTTCATAAATACACGTTTAGCGTCCAGAGGTAAAGAGATTATATCCCACCTTATAGAGCTAATGTGAAATAGTAGCTAAAAATGTGGGCTTTAGAGTAAAACTGCCAGAATTTAAATCTTAGCCCTTAGATAAATTACTTAGCCTCTCAGTGCTTTGGTTTTCTTATAAGTAATGTAGGAATTATAATAGATTGGAAAGGGCCAATTTTATGGATTTTAAAAAATCATCTTCCTTGAGTTCTGACCAATGTATACACCCATGTAACTACCACCATACAATCAAAAATGGAACATTTCTGTCATCCTAAAAAATATTGACATGCTACTTGCAATTATTCTCCCTCATCATCCTAGATTTGATTTCAGACTGTAGATTTTCTAGAATTTTTTATGAACGAAATCGTACAATATATGCTTTTAAAATCTGGCTTCTTTCAGTGTTGTGTCATTGAGATTCATCTTTGTTCTGTGTTGCAGTAGTTCTTTTTTTTTTTT